CTCCCCCTAACCCTTGCCCCTACCCCCCCCCCACCGCCGCACCAGGTTCATACCATCGCTCTTGCGGGCAGACGGAGCCGTCTGGACGGCGATGGAGATGCCGCACGCGTAACTTTGCCCGCGTTGACGGGAGCAGCTTGCATTCCACAAGTGGTGCAGGATCACCGGCTGGGGAATTCTTGCAAAACAGAAACTGCGGATCTATGAATCAAACGGACATATGCTGACCCAATGCTGGCGTGCTACCGCCCCCTTTTGTGGGGTCGGCGGCAGCGGCGTTAGCCCTTAAATATTGAACAGGCATGCATCTGCGGCTGCCACCCCCGTTCTGCTGATTCCTTGTGTGAAAGTCTTCCTCAGTGATACTGCGCATTTCACCGACCGGACTGAGCAACACTGTAGAGTCAGCTTCCAGGAGCAATTCGATCCTTGGCTCTGTGCATTTCGTGGTGGAAACGGATCTTCGAAGCAGCGGCCTGCAGCATCGGACCAGAGGTCTGGAATGAACCTGGTGCAGCATTCAGCCTCCATTTCCTTGATATTGTGCTCCAGGTACTGCTCCTTTTGGGGGAAGGAATCGGAGCAGCAGCAGCGGCGCGCGTCGAAGCGCGGCTCCTGACGATCTTCGTCAGGTCGGCGGCCGTGGTAGTGGACACTCTCGTAGAGAGACCTGCAGTGCTGGTGCATTACAGCATGTGGCTTTCCCCCAGTACATTGCTGGCTAAGGTTAGAGCTTGGGTCCGAAGTCATGCTCTTGTCCCATAAGCATGTGCTGAGGATCAAAGGGCGTGGAGGTGTAGCGCCGGTTGTGTGGAACCTTCGGAATGAAAGACTGCGAACCGACGAGGCAACATCGCCGCAGCCTTCCCCGGCTCGAAAGTCTCCACCACAGCGACAGGCTGCGTCCTCTCTTCGCCCAAATCCTTTGAGAGATGGGCGCAGATGGGGTTGGAGGTCGTGGGCTGCGCCGGCCCCCCTCTCTGGCTGAGCTGTGCGCAATGCGGAACCACTCGCCCTCTTCGAAGGGCTGACGAGGCAGTGTCAATCATGCTGCGGGAAAAACAGTTGCTGCATCTCATCGTCTGTGGCAACTCTTACCAGGAACAGTGGAAAAGCTGCAGATAGAAAGTGCCGTTCGCCTCGTGCAGCAACTCCACGGTGGATTGATCTGAGACAGCGCTAGCAGTAGCTGACAAGCTAAATCAAGCAAATGTGCTCTCCAGTTTTGCCACGCTACCCAAATCACGAGGCGGCTTTCGAAAAGCTTCCCGCTGCCGGGCTTGAACAATGCGAAAAACCTGCACGAGTATGTTCTAGACTGCGCGCCTACTCCCATGGAAAGGGGAGAAAGCTTGTCTGCCTCTCTGTCGTCTCCTTCCAATCGCGCATAGGTGTCGTTCGGGCGCGGTGGCGGAGGCTTTGGCACCTCTCTTCGCCAGGTTCCATCAAGACGATTCATTCTCACATGCTATTTGGGCCTTTCTGGTGTGGCCTTGCTCAGGTCCCTGCCCCAGGTGGTGCAGCGCCAGCAAACTCGAAGTTCTGGGACATGTACGTGGGATCTGGGCCGAGGGGCAACTTTGAAGCGCACACTTATCCGGAGGCAACAGCGAGTCCACTGACTTGTGCTGCGGCAACATATCGGGGACTGTGGATCAGTGTGACAATGGCAATCAATGGCAATTATCCCGTGAACGCCGTCGTCGTTAGCACTAAACTGAGTCTTCAGCTGTACGTCCAGACCTTCTCAGATTCGTGGCCGGCCATGTGCTTTCGGAGCCATTCCTGGCCCCGGAAACGTCTTGGGATGCGCAGGAGCTACGGCTAGAATGCATGCCGCAACCTTCTGCAGCTCTGCGCTGTTCAGCTTCTGGCTGGAGTACAAATAAACCTGCAATCTCGAAGTTCGGAATGTCAAATGTGTTTTTTGCTTCCGCATTGCCGAACGCTTTTGCCTCTCAGTCGATACGCAACAGGGCCAGTGTGCCCATTGCTGCATCCGGTTACTCACAGCAAAGCTCAACATCCCTTACAAACATATCTTTTTGACCTGTAAACCCAAATGTTCATCGGCCTTTTGAAATGCTTCTCAATAAATAGTCGCGGGATCGCGGGATTTGTGCAAGCGCTACAGACGGGATGCCTGACCATCGAGGAAAGGAGTTTCCCGTTCACGCTTCTTCCCCAAAAGGTCCTGGGCTGGACATCATGCGGGCAGGCACCTTCCGAAGTCCATCAAGCCTTTTGTTGCCGAAGGCTTCGAAAACGCCCACCCCCCCCCCCCCGTTTGCCACAGATGTCGAAGCATCCAGGACCCAAGCATTCCGGCGAACATTTTGCTGCGACTGCACCCGCACCTGTCCCAGCGGTATCATGAGAAGTCAGAGCTTCTTTCGGGGCGAACTTCTCACGACACTACGAGGCAAGTGCCAGCGTCTTGTTCGTCTTCTGGAAGTTTTGCACTGAAGCCTTTGGTGACTGGCATGCTTTACTGCAGAAGTCTCTAGCCTCCTGGTTTGTTCCACGCATGCAAAGCAAAGGAGAACCGAAGCATGGTAATCCTGCGGTCAATGCCTGCACAACTGAGGCCACCTCGCTCTTGCGCAATTCCGCATGCTCCTCGTAGTGTGCATTCCTCAAGAAACTCAGCAGAAGAGCAACATCAGTCAGCCACAAGACAACCGAGAAGTTCTCACACCACGGGGATTTTCTGCTTGCACAGCGGTGTCACTCACCAGATCCATTCTTGTCTGGTCTTTGCCGAACTAGGCTCTGAACGTGAATTAAAGCTCTCCAACTTAATCTAAAGTCATCATGTCCAACATGTCCACCTTCACATTTATCGGCTCCCCTTGCTCTTTGACTGGAGATGGAGACAGCATTGTCCGTATCAAAGCATTGCAACCAGAGCAGAAACCCAACGTAAGTCTCCGCAGCGCCTCTGCACAAGGTGCGCAGTATGGACCGTGCTTGCAGTCTGGAGAGCCGAAGATGCTTCTTGCAGCAACGTCTGCATAAATGTCCTCACCCGGCAAGCCACATCTGAGACATCTCGGACCTTGCGCAGCCAGCTGTGACGGAGGATACGGAGCATCGCGTGGCCTCTCCGAATCTGTTGAAACGATATGGGTACAAAGTGTTGAGCCATTGCTTGGAGCTTTTCCGCATCCATCTTCTTGGCGGTGCCGGCTCAGATCCTGCCAGCGGGGGGGGGGGAGGGAGCCGGATGGAGCGAGGGAGGGAGGAGCCCTGCGATATGAACCCTTGTATCCAAACTTGGAAATACTTCATTGGGGGTCCGGGTATCCTGCTTTTGGCACCTAGTGCCGCAGTAGTACACCTGTTTGCATGAGGTGCAGCGCTTGAGCCGTTCCGTTGTTCCACACGTGGTGCAGCTCAGCGGTCCCCCTCCAGCCATTTTCGGAGCCGTTGGCAAAAATTTGCAGTGAATCACCCGTCTAACTTTTTGACTTACGAAAGACTGGCCCGACCAGCTTGAAATTTTGATCTCTCCACATGCGTGGTAATGCGTGGTGCAAAGCATGCTGATGTCTTGCAGTCTTGCATGCTTGAGCCGCGTGCTGCCAGAAAGCTCCACCATGCTCCACCATTTTGGCAGTACCGGTCGCCACGGAGCGAAGCATCTCCAAGGGCTGCGCGTCTGGTCTAACTTCTCCTTGAGAACCGACCGCGTCTGGAAACGGACCGTGCCTGTGGCTGCTCACCGACACACAAAAAAAGGCTCAGCAGAGAAATCATCAACATCATTCAACATCAACCCTTAAACTTTCCCTTCTCTTTTCTTCGCAGATCCAACGCCTCCGCTTCCCAGCTGACCAGAGGTCACTGCCTTCGAGGGAGACATGGCATTGAGGAGCATGAAGGGATGTGCGTTAATCACAAGTACTTGCAACAAGATGCAACAAGCTTCCACGGAAAGCATTTTCACTCTCACGCATTGGAGACGGCCGTAACTTATCACGGGTGGCACAATTTTAGCCGGCCTCCGCCAGGACATCTCTCGTTGCTTCGTGCGGTGCAACTGAGGTTCGCCGATCAGCTCCGGGGCCCGCCGGGGCTGCCCTTTTCTTGACCTGACGGCAACTCCAAGCCTGTCCTAAGCAAAGCTTCATCCGGCATCGGCATCCCTGGCCGCAATGCAGTCAAGTGTCGATGATGGCTTCTTCCGCAGGGAAGCCCTGTCTGCTCAGCCCACTTCCCATGCTGTGGCAAATCCTGAATACTATCCCAGCCTCCAACTCTCTGTCGCTGATGTATGCACCTGGCAATGAAATGTGCTTCACTGCTTGAGCTCAGTTGACACACGAGAGCGCATGATTGTGCTCCGAACAGGCAAGAGCAGCCATAAAGTCGCTGCAAATGCTCGATTTGTGCTGCCTGCAAAGATGTTGAAGCAAGCAGCTGGCACGATGGCTGAAGTTGCTCGGTTGCAGCGAGCAGTTAAACTCAAAATGCCGGAATACCACGCAATTGCATTCTTCTGAAGAAACCGTCCTAGCTTGGAGTAGGCCGAAGTTCAGCTCATGTACAACAGTGATTACTGTGCACTGCTGCGCCTTTGGAAAGTGTGGGTTCTCCCGGGCGCCACGAAGTCGGTTCAGGCCTTTCAAAGCCTTATCCAGCACACGCGTCACAGTTGGGTCGCACAGAGCTGACCCTGTTCGACATTCCTGGCAACCCCCAAAACAGATTTTCGGCCAGGGCAGACACCATGAGTTGTTTTGGCACTTCATTCGCGGCAGCATCTTCGGTAGACACCTCAGGACGGCAAATGCAACCACATCTTTGCATTTCCAGCCCGCCATGACCGTTCCTGCCGCATCGTAGAGCCGGGATGGATGGACCGGAAGACATAACCGTGAAAGCAGGCTCACAGAACAAGTGAGGCCAATCAGCCGAGAAGAGTGTCGAGGCGACAGCAGAGAGCCGGGAGGATGATTGCAGCAGAAAGCAAAGGGAGGATCTCGAGAAAAGAAGGGTGGGAGAACAGTCGCAAATGACGTTGCGTTGGCAAACACACTCACACACCCACACTTGCGCAGATCTCCACTCCAAGTACGACGTCCTGAAACAATCCCCTAACCTTCTTGCATCATTGATCTGTTGGACATATATCTCAGATTTGTTCAACATCTCTCTTGCAAAATGCTTCGTTTGTACACGGCAGGTCAACAAGGGAGCGTCCCCCATTGCATCGCCGGCAACGGATGAGCATCTTTGTTAGCGCCGGTCTCAGCAGAAAGACTTTGTCATTTACAGACACGCTGACGCCATCCTGCGCGCACAGCAAAAATAACGAGAAATTCGCCCGGCGACGTGGCGCGCAACCTGACAAATCACCAGAGACCCCGATGCCTAGGACCTCTTTACGACTGCAATCTTCTGTCATCGTATATGCGACTTTCTGAAATAGTCCCGAGTTCTCTTCTTTTAACCATGATAGAATGATAGAACTCATTCTTTCAGTGGTGCGCTCCAGCAAGTGGGAAATGCCCCTCTGCTTCACGATCCAGCCTCCTCCTCTCCCGTATTGGGGCTTGGGCCGTCCGTTTCCCCATCTGCGACTCCTCTCCACGACCAAGAGCCAAATCCTAATTGCAACAGCCTCGCCGCACCTGAGCTGCAGGAGGGTCATCCGGGGTCCGGCTGGTTGGTTCTCCATCGCTGTGCTCAGGCGAACGAGGAAGAGTCCCCTCAATCGACAACTAGGAGTACTATCCCAAAATGACTGACCCAAGCACACTGCACTCTCAGGCTGCCAAGCACAGACGCTGCCAACGAACATGAGGATGCATGTGCCAGCTTCGACTCCCCCGCTGTGGACCCCGATCTCTCTTGCGGGCTTGCTTGCTCGAGGTAAAACGCCCGGGCATCCCCGAACCCGCCCCCGAAGGGGATCTCACACTGTCTTGCGTCCAGCGCGTCCACTCGGCGTGAAACTTCCGCCACTTCACTGTTTACACCTTTGCCCCGAACCTGAACGCCTAGCCTAGCACAGCCTCGACTCCAGAACATATACGGAGCACTCCGACCGACGATGATCCAAAACCATACTCACACGACGTGCGACCTTTTTCGTCGTGTGGTAGGGGCGCTGTATCACGCCGTTCGGCGAGGACACAGACAGAACGGACAGGCGGTGTCGGAGCGCATTCTGCCCGCGCCATGCGCACCGACTACCCACAACGCGCCGGCTCAGCCCACATAGGCCTCGCCGCGAGAATCATCTCGTCGGCAGCAGCAATGTTGGCAAACTCAATGTCGCCGACTGCCTTGGCCAGAATCTCCATCACCTCAACGTCGTGGCTGTTGACTCTCGTCCATCCTTCCCGTCGGGCTCTGGTGAAGTCGTCGCGGGAAACATCGGCGACATTGGCCTTGGATGGGGGTCGCTCAAACTCGACGAACCATCCTTGCAATGGCGAGCGGCGAGAGTCCAGAATGCCGAGATCATGCCGTTCACCGCCGGATCCTTTCCGCAACCTTTGGAGAGCGCCGCCTGACCCGCCGTGCTGTCGATGAAAGCGACAAAATGGTCTGCGGCATGATGTTGGCGAAGGCGACGATATGAGCGAAGACCTCGAGCATGTAAATTACGCCTTCCTCGCGGAGAAGAGTTTCACGAACCACGGCGGAACCACGCCGTGGTCGTGGTACTGTATACGATCTTCCCGCCGATGCGTAGCACATAGCCCCAGCCGTTGGCCGCTCGCTGTGACGGCGTGGGGTTGAGTCTGTCGGGAACATATCCGGCTTTGTGTTTCCTCTCGCCGTCGGTGAAGAAGGCGTCGGCGTAGAGAACCGCCATCTCCATGTGCTCGCCGTGAAAGCACGAACCGCGGCTTGACCGTCGGGAGGATCTGGACCAGAGTTCGGAGGGCGGCTGCCAGACCGGGCGAGAAGTGATTCAGTGATCGTCGGTCCATGCTGCCGTGTCCGCCGCTCTGGCGTAAATCGCCTTGGTGGCGGCTCTCGCCACTGCGCCGAAGACCGCCCGCCAGCTCCGCCGCGTCATCGGGCATGAGGCTGTTCTCCTCCAGAGCACGGCGGATCAGCGTGAGAATCTTCTCGACTCGACTCGATGTGAAGGGTAACAGCTTGGACGATGTGCTCGGCGGCCGGCGGTTGAGCCTTGGATGCCTTCGTCATGAGCCGAGGGCGGCAAAGAGCTCCTGGAAGCTGTCGGCGGCTGAAGTTCCCAAGATCTCGCTCGTCGTCGATGCCATTAATGAAGTCGTCGACATAGTGGCCGATCGCCGCGAGGAGCAGCCCCCGAAGTAGCTGCTGCAATGCGTCGGCGGTGCGGTTAAAGTTCCAGACCGACGCCGTCTCGCCGAAGTCCATGGACAGATGGTATACCAGAAGGTGACGCCGTGTCTCGTCGCCAAGAAGGTGCCGCACTGCGCTGGGCAGCGGACTGGCCACTGCCGATAGGATCTATAGGCGTTGAGGAGGTCGTGGCCATAAACCACCAGGCGGCGGGTGTTCAATGCCAGCCGGTGTGCTAGGTCCACGAAGCTGCGGATGAAATTGGTGCGTCGGAACGTCGTTGACTCTGATCGTCGAGTTGTGGCCTGACCGTCTCCAGCCTCGGCACGGCGCACTTTGAGGTCGCCATTCTCGTCGGTTTGGCAGACTGGAAAGGAGGCGGCGAAGTGCTCGCCTGCGCGGGCCTCGGAGATGGTGTCCACGTCCTGAAAGTCGGCCGACCGAGGGTCCTATCACCCTACCGAGTCGCTGCTCGGTGGGCGGTGAGCTCTCGAAGGAGCTTCTCGGGGTACCTCCACCTTCGCCGTACCTTGCGCCGAACGTGGGGGTGGCTCGACGTTTACTTATAGCCCTCCTGGTGTGCACACCACCGCCACAGTGCCGCCACCACGCCAACATCAGCCACCATACCGCCATCGCTGTCCAGATCCACTATTCAGTGGGTGGCCCATGCAGCTCGGGGGCAAGCGCATTGGAAGGCGTCGGAATCTGTTCGGCATCCTCTGACGCTCATGCACGCCGACTCTGGAACCGGCGCGGGAACGCTTGCTGGCCATTCGACGCCTTTGGCACATGACCTGCATGGTCAGGATATGCAGGACGAGTCCGCAGCACGGTTGGCAGCCCAATCCTCTTGGGGGAGAGGGCCACCTACTCCACGCCGGACAAACCCAAACCGGCGCCGACTCAGGTACTAGCGTCCTGGAAAAACCACTCCGACGGATCGACAGTGCCATCTCGAGCTCGCCAGCCGCCTTTTTCGCCGTGTAGTTCTTGCGGATGTGGTGCAGCTGCTCCTTATATAGCCGCGCGTGAGCACGACGAGCTTGCCCTGATCGTCTGACAACACGACATCCTTGTTGTATAGTGCCACGGCGCGAATTGGTGGCTGTCTTGAAGCCAGGCTGGACATCCGTCGTGACTTTCCCTCTCATGGATCTCGGCGGTGGTCTGCCTCTCTCGTCCACCGCCGGGGTCGTGGAGCACGGCGACTCTATATCCGGCGCCGCCCTCGGTCGAAGGCGGTTCCACCGGTGATGTAGCACCCATGTCCATCTTTCCGCTGTTGTGGGGTTGTGGGGGTGACCTGCGGCGGAGCCTTCGAAGTAGGCCGAGTGTTGGCGGCGTTGGACGACATAGCATCGAGAGGAGGCTACCTGAAAGCTTAAAATCGTCGCTCGAGCAGGAGTGCTAGCGGCGTTCGCCGGAACCGTATGTTACTGCGCACACAAGTTTGCTATCACTTCCGTAACCTACCTGCCTTGCCTTTTCATCCCCGAAGCCTCTGCAGGAAAGCAAGGACTGTGCCGCCTGAACTCCGAAAACTACGAACTTGACACGTCACCGTGGTACCGGACTAATTACAACACAGCTGCTAGTCCTCTTGCTATGACCTCACACATGGCACTACGCACTTTGAGACCGCTGCTACTTCACATAGTGACATAGTGAAATTTGCAGGTATCGGTCGCAGCAACACCCGTCTGCCGAGGTGAAAGCAGCGCCGCTGACAGGTGACAATCCCCTCTGAAGCAGGCTGGCTATCGAGATCCTCTTAAGACAGGCACAGCGGGGTATTTAGCAGGGCAGCTTCCCGGGGATCGAATCACAAAAGGCAGCCTGCATGCGCCTGCGCCGGTGCGTGGTCTCACTGCACTCACGAGTGCGCCTTGCCGGTCGTACTCCGGCTAACGTGTCAGCGGCCACGCTACAGGTTCCCCTGCCATGCGTGGGGTCCGTCTCCGCTGGGCTGTCCAGAGTGTCACGAGCGGCCCCGGGTTCAGCTGCTGGCCCTGTGTCTTGGGGCAGGGTTCCCGCGGAAATCACGCGTCAGATGCATTACTTGCAATCCTGTCTCAAAACAGCCCAGATCAGCTCCCCAGGACCGCTTCTGAGTTGGTTTTGGTTTCCCAGGCAGTGCGCCGGCTACGCAAACCACACTGTCGTAGCAAACGCCCACTCCGCGCGGTAGCATAGGGCTTCTGTCACCACGGAGATTACTCAGACATGCAGGCTGCCAAAGGAACGTCTTTTCTGAAACATCGGATTGAAGGCTGCTCCCCCCGAAGGATGGCTTGGATCTGGGCACCGGCAACGTCTACGGATGTCTATGCATGGAGGCTTCTGTTGGGGAGTCACGCCCCGCCCATGGCTCTATATCGGAAGACCCTATCGTCTTGGTGCAAAGGACAAACGTGGGCGGGGGGGGACAAGCTTGATGCATCGGCCGGAGGCGCAAGCCAGGGGGTGAGTTCCCGACTTGAGTGAAAATGGTTACGCGGCTACGCGGATCTTGGGGTGGGCTCTCGAGAAAGCCCTGGCGTGGAGGCTTCCGCAACGCTCCGCGAAGCATCCTTGCCATTTCCGAGAATGAGAGAATTTCGCGTTCGCCCGGCTGAGCCTTGTAGACCCAAGCCAGGAAAACACACCTCTTAAAGCCACACCGTGACAACCAGAAGCTCCAGCCGAGTCATCCGCGGTCTCTCCAACAACAGCTACTCGGGAGTGCTCGGGTTTAGTGTGTAGACATGCCATGTAAGACTGTTGCAGCACCACCTAAACACAGTACGGAAGCTCAAACCGGCATGGTTGGCCCCGGTCAAGCTTCACTCTCACGGCTTTGTAGAAACACTTTGCTACATCCCAACCTGACCTGCCACCCCACCTGATCCCCAACGGAAGCCTTGCGCGACGCTGCCTTTACCTTCCCACACCCTCCCTGAACCTTTTCCCCGGCAGCCACGTTTTTGTAAACACAAGAACTACAGCCAGGTAAAGACACAGTCCCCCCCCCACAGACTAAGACAACCAGGTGCGAACAAAGTCAGCCTTAGCCCCCCTGCTCTCTGAATGCAAAGGTCAAAACACTCGTAGTAGCCGATCTCTCTCTTGCTTGCTTGCTTGCTTGCGAACGGCTACGAGAGAGAGCCCCCTTGGGAACCCTCCCCCACGCGGTGCGCGCAGCCGAGTCCACGGTCTCTCAGGGTCGGCTGTATTAGCTTCCCCCGCTCAGTAGAACAAGGATCCCCCAAGCAAGAAATCTAATACGCATATATGGCACACAGTGGTATCGGCAAGCTGAAGGAAAGTTATCGGCTCTCCGGATTGTGGCGAGCACCACTGTACGGAGGTTCCCCCATTATTTGAGGCATCCCCCTGAAAGAGTCTCCTGCAGGAAGCAAATTAGACAAGGGCAAGCTGAGTGAAGGCTGTTGGCTCTCCGGATTTTGGCGAGCTCTACTGCAAGGATATTCCCCCAGTAATTGAGGCGTCCCCCTGAAGCGAACATGAGTCACAGTCCCTATTCACCCCGGAAGGAAGCAAAGCACAGAAACTTCCAAAAAACCCTTTTAGTTCCCCGGGCTGAAAGAGGGACGTAATCTACCAGGCCACACTCACTGCTTATATGGCACTCAGGTGTCGCCGGCGTCGTAGGGGTGGGCGCTCTCTTTTCTTCTCATGCGTGCCACGGTGACCTTTCTGCAGTGACGGTCCCCCGCGTCCATCATCGTCGCCATTCGCTTCAACTTGGCTCATAGCGGTTCTGGGGCTGCTTCGGTCGAGGAACTTGAAGGCATAGTCGAGCTTGATGTCATAGTGCATGATATACGCTGGACTTTAGCAGCAAGTGAACCCCTGGCAGCTCCCCCTTCACGAGGTTGCGGTAGCTTGACAACGAGTCCCCCAATCTTGAGAGTTCTCCTACGCTCTTCTTCCGCCTTCTTCTTGATTTTCAGGCCGAGTCTCTCCCCCGCTGACTGCACTGAAGGGGCTGTGCGGGAGGTCTGTATTCCGATCTCTCTCTCTCTCTCTCTTTCACATGGTCCTGTGCGGCAGTCCACAAAGTCAGCTGCACATCATCCCTTTGACACACCCCTCGCCGGACCGTTTTGCAAGAAACCCTTGCACAAGAGCAGGAGGCTCGGTTCGTATGATTAAGTTGGGGCAAACATTTGACTCATGGTGTGTACACCACATACGCAGGTTCAAGTGAAGTTACCGATGGTATCGTCCGCAACCGCGTTCTGCGGCCCTGCAGCATGCTTCGGCAGAAAGATTTTCAATTCGAGTGACAGTTTGGTGTCCAGCTCTGGTCTATCAGCAAAAAGAAAAAGTGCCGCTCACGTGCTGCCAGGACTGATCCTTTGGCTTTCACCGACAACTTGGGGATTTGCTCAGGGTCTTCTCTCTTGCCCGTCGCGAACTGCCACAATAGTTGCAGTTGCAGCCGTAAATTTGTTGCAAATGTTCCGCAGTGTTGTGTTCCGTGCGTGCACACAATTCATGGTACTGTCGGTCTTTCCGTCGCACTGCCCTGTCCATTCTGTGATTTGTTCCTCCGGCATGGCCTGTCGGTGATGATGAGCGTCCTGTACTTTTTGTCGTGCTACCCAGAAATGGAGAGACGCGAAAGGCTTCTAACATGAAGCTAGACTAAAGAACCGTGGCTCGACTCTCAAACTCGGAACTCTCGGCAAGCACACAACGACAGGTCTGGCCTCTTACTCACGACAGTCTGACACAAGCACTGCTGGCCGCGCAATCTCCAGCCGAAGCAAACAATCACCCAAAGCGATTTTGTCACACCGGCCCAGCTTCCCAAACACTGTTGAAGTCTGAGTCCACAAATTCCCACCTACACTCCAGATCGGAAGAGAGGATCTGGAAAAAGCAAGTACATCCACTGCCATGCATCCAATCCGTGACGCCATTCAATGTTCCACCTTCCCACGACTGGGTTAAAAGCTCGGCATGCTCTTTGCTTGCTTCGCTGTGAAGCCGACGTTTTGCGAAGACAACTTGTGGCAAAACGAAACAGAATACCTGAGATCGCCCAGCCCTGTCGTTCGTTACGTTCTAAAGGCCCGGAAGAAGTACGGACATGAGAGGCTGCCACCACCACAAACCCTGGCTAAGGGAGGTGCAGATTTATTCCAGGAATACAGCGCTGGCCTCGCACAAATGCTGATAGACATTGTGCCCCATTCCACTCTACCGATCAGTGCAACTGGCCTGAAAGACAATCTCTCCAAGGTTCCTCGCAACTTCACCTGCTTCAGCCTCGGGCCGAAACTGATGTAGAGCCTCCAGGCTGCGCGCGGCCAGAGAGAGAGAGAGAGAGAGATCGGGAGACTAGCACCGCCCAAGGTAACATGCACGAAGCTGCCGGCATGCGGGCGGCAACGGTGCCTATTGATGTGAACAGCCAAGACATGCTAGCATCGGAATCGGTCAATCATAGTCGGACAGTCTAATGCGACTTTTGTGCAAATGAAACATCACAGCAGAAGTCGGTACGTCACCACATGCCGTGTGCAGCGGGTGTCACGTTGGTCGGGGAAGCCCGCTGAACTCGAAGAGTTGTGGCTGGTGGAAGTGCAGGCCCCATCCACTGGTTTCAGTCGGAAAGCTCATTCAACTCTGCCTCAGAGAAGCGTGGGCCCAGGCTGCAAGCCTTCTGCTCGCCGTTATTGTATGGCTCCCTTCTGGTACAACATCATCAGAGTCACGTGAGTTCAATTATTCGGATCATCCGATGCATCATCAGTTCGACGAGCAACCGCCTACAGCCGATGATCAATTAATATGAGCCGAGAGGCTTCTCGAAGAATTGGTCAGGATATTCAGGAAGTACTGAGTGTCCCCACGAGGGATGAAATTACCTCTGGCTTTGGTTGTGCCTGCAACTGAGACCTTTGGTTCAAGCCCCGTCCCTTGCCCTCGGTACCGTCTCTGGTCAGGTACTATGCCATGCTTACCGGCTAAACCTCATCGGGCCAAGTTCAGATTGGGCCAGGGTGTGGATGCCTTCTTGGCCCTTGTTGGCTTCCTCTCATGAGGTGGAGGTCTCGGTGATGTGTCACCCCCACTCCCCCATTCGTGAGCCAAGTCAGGCTCTCAGGCGACACGACCAGTCAGAAGAAGTCGTCTGCCGCTCCCAGGTCCATGCGGCTTTCTTCCTTTTCTTGTTCTTCTTTCGTTCGCTCGCGGATCTTCGCTTAAGGGGACTGGAGGAGTGAAATCAAGTGTTGTCCGCTGCACGATTGACAGTTTTCATCACAGCCCTCGCGTGGTTCAGCATCACGAAAGTAACCAGCCAGCCTTGTCAAAGTGTAGGTTGCCAACGTGTTACGTCTCAAAGAACAAACATTCAGCGCAGAGCCGCCTCTCCCCGAATCCAATTGCGGTGTTATGCAGCCTGCGCCGGTCTAACACAATGACACGGGCAAGATAGGCAAGGGCCAGCTAGAACAAGGGCACCACAAACAGATGCGTCACTGAGTTTGATGCAGCTTTGGTGCATCAGGTCCACGGGGAATCATCTGGCAGGGGGCATGCGGGCATGCTGCATGCTCCCACTTCGGCAGTTAAGACAGCCATGTTCCGACGATTGCTTTCAGAATTATCAGAGCACGCTGCCTCAAGGAGCTTTGAGAACGAATGGCCCTCACGAAGTCCTGTGAGCTGCCATGGGCGGCATTTTCGTTGACTGCTCTAGCTTCTGACAAGCACTTTCCGGTTGCCTTCTATGACAAAGAGCCGTGAGCCTGGGCACCGCGGCACCGCCGTGCTTACGAAGCAGGCATGAAACAGACAAGACAAGAGGTTCTGGCGCCCGTCGAGCACGCAGAAGCCGGACAGTAAATCCTGCTACCGTAAAGCTTGCAAAGCGTCAACAATGGCAGATTTACAAGTGCCCGGGCGGAAAGAATTCTCAGTCTGGGTGTCAAACCAAATGAGGGTCTGCTTGCTCCTCCCCGGACCTGCCAAGCACTGCGAGCTCTCAATCTCGCGAGGAATCTGGGCTAACAAAGCAAGGAGCCAAGATGAGCCAAGGGAGAACCCGCGCTAGCATCCCATCGATAGACAAGCCATCCAAAAAGCAGCTGGGGGAATCACAACTCTCGCAACAAGAACTCGCCGTCCTCACGGTTCCCTTAAACATCTGCCACATCAACATCACGGAACATTGATGCTAGCTCCTGTGGGCGAAGTCCCAGCAGAGCAGCATTGAGCTCGTGAAAGCAAGTCAAAACCTCAGTAAGTGGCGAGATTGTCTTCCTGGCTTCGTCGAGCCAACAGTTAACAGCGTAACAACTCCCAACAGCTGCGAGCGCAGCTGCTCTTGTAACCTCTCCGTCATTGGCCTATCGCGCAGAATCACGCCAATTTGAACCCAAGACTTCCGGTTGCAAAAAGGTGGGATTCATCGGCCTCAGAGCAAACCAGAAAGATGCGACCATAGCGCTCGAAGCGACAGTCCAGACCTTTGACAAAGGCTTGTCATGCTTCCGAAGGTGCTCTGATCTGGTTCTATGCTTGAAAACGCTTCAACTAGCCTAGGATATGCATCCTCTCCACATTCGCCCACAGGTCACACATGCCGCGCAAGGTGTCATCACAGGTTTCCATGGCAAATTCCTCAGCTTTGCCGGCCGACTTTAAACCTCCTTCCACCGGGGCCCATGCCAGCTAGTGCACCCGGCAGCACGGCCTTGCTGGAATAGCTGAGAGCAAAGACAAACTCTCAGCCGTCAGCCTGTTTTTTCCAGGCGTCAAGATATGTCAAGAGATTTTAGGATCGCAGAGGATCGCAGAGGTCCACCTGCGTCAGCTCCAGCGAGGCAGCCTCGGCGCCGGCGCAGCTCCGACACACCGCGATAGGCGCCAGGCCAGGCGGCCTCTGCATCCTCGGCCTCCAAGAGCTTCGTCTCATCCTCCGAATCACTTAAGTCGCGCTCTACTTGGCAACCCTCGCTATGTCCATCTCGCACTTAGACTCTCTAAGACCTCTCGAAAACAAGACCACTGTGTCGTTCGGTCCTCTGCGGCCTCTTCTGCACTTCTGCGCCAGGGCCCTGCAACCTCAAGCTTTACGAAACATTCGCGACAGCTTTGGCGGACTATGACATGCCCTGAGATGTCAATGAGGTGGACGTAAAAAGCGGAGACTCCGGCATCGCCAACCTTCGCGCGACTAGGAGTCGCCTTCGGCGCCCATTGAGTCGGCACGGCGGTGGGCGACTTAGTCGCAGGTCATGTTGTCGCGGAGCTTGCACACTTTGGGACACAAAGGCGGTCGCATCACCGAGCGACTTGGCAGTGAAGACCTGCAGAGCGCGGCTTGCAGAACAAAGCGTCGCATGCCGGGATCAGCATGATGGCCAAGGCTTGGACATTTCCGTCTGCTTTCTCGGTAGATTCCCAATGTTTTCGGTGCTCCTGCCAGGCGTCCACTAGCCGCACCCTGAACTGCAGAGCACAAAGGCGGGAATGCCAGACTTCCCCGAGCCTCCTCCTCCTCGTCCTGAATGCGGTAGTGTAGCGGTACCTCAAACCGATGAAACTGCATTGTAGATGCAAGGCCCAAGACGGGGCGGATCGTCTGAGGAGGAAGCTGGGACGGCCAGTGCTGCTCGAAGGGTGCATACCTGAAAGCGCATTGCAACAAGCAAGTCGTTGTCAGGCAGCGGGCAAGCCTAGCAAGCTGCTGTTCAGGTCTGCTGCACCCAGGAATTCTCAGATGCTGGCAGTTCCAAGAGAATGGTAGTTCGTCGTGTCTTCACGCTTGCTCAGGCCTTCTCTTCTCGCGATTTTTTGCCGACCTGTCTGTTGCTCATTGCTTTAAGCTTTCCGGTGAGCCTGTGCCTGTCTGATCATGTCTGGGTCGGCATGTGGGTGCCTTCTTCGTCCAAAAGGCCCGATGCATGGAGGCTGTCCACACCTGAGTCTGCGATGGACGAAACACTTCAACCGATTCCGCCACCCGCCCTCTGCTCGCTCTGCTTGCTCGGGCATTGGCTCAAAGCTTCGGCCTGATCGAGGCTTTAAAACGCTTCCTAGCGGTTGTGCCCCCGGCCACCATGGAATATGATTCGCAACCATAAGATCAGAAATCACAGGGAAGGATCCAAGAGCGGATATCATGGCGGAGAGGCTTGCGTGCCAAAAGCTTGTGCTGTTGCCTTTTCTGACATCCTCTAGTCCCAAAACAGATCCGCATGGTTGCAATAAGCGGCCTGTAGCTCGAAAAGAAACTCGGGCAACTGACTGTCGACTCCCACATTCACGAGAACTGGCCCAAAGAGTCAAACCCATTTTGCAGTCTTTGTCCATCGTTACGTTTGAACAAGAATTGAAGGGCTTGTTCGAGTCCTCCGTTCGCACGGATCAAAAGAAGGAACATCATGCAGGTTGACATGGCGTGCGAGGCAGAACTCAGTAGTTCTCGCATGTTTGCCGAGATCTTGTCTCCGGGAATCTGCCGGGTCTTGCGTCCGGATGCCCCAGACCATGCCGTCTGAGCATGTATGAGACATCTCAGAGAGTGTCTGCGACCAGGCGCTTCATGCTGCCATTCGTTCATCCTTCTACTGGGTGCTTCTAGTTCGCGGTCGAGTCTGAAATTTGTAACACTAATACAACCCCGTCGCGAGGGCCGATCTTGCCAAAAGACACCTGAAACTCAACAACAAGAGAAGTAGGTACTGATAGTCTTGCAGCATTATCATCGCGGTTTGGGCTTCGGCTTTTGGGCACGTTGCTTCGAGGTTCACTTGGCCACAATGTCAAAGAAAAACAGTATCCAGTATACGAAAAACCAAACACAACAGCAACAAACACATGATGAAGGCCAAAGGCTGAAGTGATTTGCTTGAAAACTGTGAGTATCAATCGGTCCTTTGTCTACAGACTATAGAGTCTAGAATTCGAGCATGTCCACTCAGAGGCCAATGAGCAACGCACTCAAGCTGCTCAAGCCGGACTGCTTGTCCCCGGGACCTACCCTTCGAGCATTCTACCTGGGGAGAAGCGGGAGGGTAGATTCCACTGACAGATTTCTGGAGTTCACCAAGGTGTTCACTCGTTCTCTCGTCCCCCTCTCCGACAATGGTCCTGAGATCCGATCCCGGCGTTTTTTCTTGTTCCCACGGCTCGGGCAGACGTCAGCCCGCAAGGACAACTCCAGCCTTGGAGAGAAAAAGGCTTTGCTTGCCGAGCTGAGCAGCGGCTAGCGCGTATCATGGGGGCACTGGAAGCTGAACATGCCAAGGCGCGTCTCTGACCTGGCATCAGAAAGATCAGATGTCTTCCTGGGTGCATAAGCTCTGGCGGCAGCGCTGCAGCAAAGGTCCCAAAGGAAAGCGCGCAACTCCTTGGAGAGAAAGTCTGGGTGATCTGGATGCAATGCAAAAAACTCCTTGTCGGTGGCAGGCCGTGGCCATGAATGGGCTGCATTCTGGGAATACTGTCCTGACCTCGGCATGGCCAAGACGTGGCAGTGAAGAGTTTGCAAGCTGCGGAGAGGCAAGCGGAGTGGCTAAGCCTCTATCCCGGGTATTCCGCCTGGAATGCAGCACAGGGCACATCGTGTTCCGTGCTTTGTTCCTGCATCTGCTACAAGCCTTCTGCTGCTTCGGGTCACGGTCATGCACCTGACGGGCCAATTGTTTCTCCGTGATTGTTTTCTCTCTCTGACTCTCTCGCTCTCTCTCTTTCGCAAGGGCTGGAGGAAGGGGTGCGACCCCTCCAGTCGTGATGTGCAAGTGCCCCCCCCCCTTACTGTGGGTGCCAAGGGAGACACACGCTGCAAAGGCAAATCGGGCTTCATTAATAAATATGGCAACTGCATCACGCACTCACACGACTCAATCTAAAAACCATCACTCACACACGAACTCTGGAGCCCATGGCCATCGGACTTGGGCAAAGCTTCTCCAACACTCAGCAGTTCACAACAAACAACCGACCGATTTTGGTAAAAGCATCTTTAAGGGAATAGCTCACAAGCCTGATCGTATGCTAAAGGATTTCCACCGGAGATGTAGGTTCCCGAACTCGAAAAGAACATGCTCGACTTGAAAGGACAATGCATCAGCCGGCTAGATAGTCTTAGATAAGGTGCACACCCCCTGACAGGCGCTGCCATTGAAAGTCGCTCCTGATGACCAATAGACACTGGGTACCGCTCGACAACAACCGAACAACACGTGTGACTTGCTCATAGTTTGAATTGAGGCCACAAAAGCTATGGCAACACAAAGGAAACACAGCTGCTGGAGCTCGGGCAGCGGGGATGCAAGCAAAGATGTATGCCATGAAGCTTCTTTACCCGCAAGATGAAAGCATGCTGCGGCTGTAAATGGCCGGTAAAATTATTGCACAACCAAAAGGCAGGTTATACAACCAAAAGGACCGATCACATAACCAAAAAAACCGATTGCTTAACCAAACCAATCGAGTGTCTAACCTAGATGGTCCATAGGTATCACCAACAAGGACCGGTTACTTCAGCAAACAGTGGATTATACAACCAACATCAACCAACTATAAGCAAGCTACAGTACGGTTTAGCTTTACAAACAGGACTATCTCTGGGTTTAGCTTAGGGTAGGGGTTTAGGTTACCTAACCTGCCCCAACCTGACTTGAACTACCCCATCCTACCCCAACCTATCAAGCTAACCTGACTTAGAGCTTCCTTTGCCTAAGAGGAGCGGGCAGGAGTAACAGCTGACTTACAACCCCACACCGAGGGTAGGAAACAAAACCAGCCCCCAACACTGCACCAGGCCTCCCGCCAAAATATGTCGGTGTGAGCTCCGACGAAGGTGCAGGTGCGAACCCAGGCGTCTTTCTACGCTCTGGGAGAATTTGGGGATCGGCTTGTTGCGGTCCGGAGTCGACGCATCTCTATGCCGAGAGCAGAAATGATCCACACTCTTTTGGTTCTTTTTTTCTCTCGCTCTCTCTCTCTCTCTCTCTCTCTCTCTCTCTCTCTCTACCAGGCTTGGGGCTCAGGGTAGGTCGGACCCCTTGCCCCGCACGCGCACGCGGATTTGCCGGTCCTCTCTCTCTCTCTTTTCTTTCTTTCGCCAGGGCTTTGGGCCAGAGGTTTCCCCCTAGTCTTGCTTGCTTGCTTGCTGGGGGTGTGAGGGGAAACCCCTCTGGCCCTTCCCCCTAGTCTCTCTCTCTTGTTTGCTCGCTTGCTTGCTGGGGGTTTGGGGTCAATGACCCCCGGCCCGAGGGCCAACCCCTCAACGGCGCGCGATTGTCCTGTCTGACTGCCCCGTGTTGGGGTTTGCAGCTGTGTTCCCGCCAGGTGGGCACACTCAACCCTCCCACACAACCCCCTAAGACCGTGATCAAGTGAAACCCCCGTTGTGTGCTCCCCCTGGGTCATCCACACTGCGTTCTACGGCGTATCCCTCAACCGAGTTCCACTCTGTGAGGGGCGCGGGGTGTGCCAGTTGACAAGGAAACAACCAACATGCCACACTTAGGCTCATCAGGCAAATAACCATCACAGGAAAGGTCACTCAATCTGCTGGCTCCCCCGTCGCAAACGGACTCTACCGGATTGAACCGACCTACCTGCCTCCCTACCGAGACTGTCTCTCTCTCTCTCTCTCGCTCTCTCTCTACCAGCCATGGGGCAGCGTCCAGGCCCTTCCCCCGCACGAACAAGAAGCTGGCTTGAGGGAGTGTTCAGAGGCTCCCAGGCAAAAGCGTGCTTCCCCCGCCGTTTTTGGCGAGATCTACGTACTGCCACTGTTGGATCGGAGCGAATTTGGGCCTAGGATTGCCTCTTGAATTCCCCTCCAAAGTCGGAAACAGATGTACAGGTGTGTTAAAAAGACACTGGGATTCGCGGGCCAAGTCGGGCCGGTTGTTGTGAGTTTTACCTGAGAAAGCACGACGACATGCTTGCTTAAAGACTTCACACCAAGGAACTCGCATGCACTCGGATTGTCCGATCAAGTGGAAAATCCCCCTAGGCACCCCTCAGAAGTCAGCGCGTACCCCGGGAGCCTTTTACAGCCATGCTCGGAGTTGGCATCAGG